GGGGGAGTTAAGCTTGTGATGTTCCCCCTTACAAAACACTCCCTGCATTTACATTGACTGGCAGACACAAGCTTGGGAAACACATTAGCTGTTAGGCTATGATGTTCTACCTAGGTGATCTTTGCAAACTAAGACTTCATTATCCTATACTAAAATCCAGAGACTCTATTAGCTCTTATTCAGAGATATTCCTGCCCAGAAATGAGCTCTACATACCTCTGCCATGATGACAATGCTGCCAACTCCTCTGACAGTGCTGATCACCTGTTTGGAAGAGAGAGGAGGGAAGAATGAACCAGCTTTTATTTTGTTCAGAGTTGAACATTTTTTTAGATATAAGTACAAAAATTATTCTTGCTTATTTTCATTTTGCAAACTAAATATATGATCACCTACTTAATTCTGCATTTTAAACTGTATTCCATTGGTTAGCAGTCAGTTTCAATTTCAATAATGCAAATCAAGGATTTTCAGTTTATTACTTCAGAAGATAAGAGTCTCCTGTTTAATTCATATCTAGCTTTGCTAGCAAATTCGCAAATCTAAGATATTATCATACTCCTGAAAAGCATTTTTTTTTTTTTGCATTTCCTTAAGTGTGCTTCAACCTTTAGCCCATATCCTGTTCACTTGGATAGTATATTCCCATGCAGTTTAATGATGGTACTTGGAAACTAATAGGAAACACCAAGAACGAACTTTCTTTCCCTTTAGACTTGCAATAAAGGTTCAACGGATTTTAAATACAAATAGTGATTTGTCAGGCTGGCTCTACAGAGATAAGTTGGAGGGAGGTCGTTAGTGTATGTTTAAAAGAACACAATCTAGAGTGGAATCCTATTGTAAACCAATCTTCTGATTGTTCTCCAGTCCAATTTGTTATTTCTTAGCAGCACAATCTATTTTATAAATAAATGAACTTAAAGTAAAATACTGATTAATCCTAAGGGGAGAGATCCATTCATTAAGATAATGTGGTTCAAGTCCTTAACAACTCTTCTGACTGTGTCCTACTATATTTGAGTTGTTATTGCTATTGACTTCACTGGGGTTGTTTGCCTTGTTCTTGCCATAAGGGATTTCATTCAGGATTGTTGTATGCATGTTATTTGTGTCCATAGTCAATTAGAATTCTGGAACGAGATGGCTGGTCTACCTTTTGGACAAATGTTGCATTTGCCATGTTGGAATCCTGCAAGATCCTCCCATTTGTTTTTGTTTTTAAATATTTATATTTTATTAAGGTGATTTCGGTTAAAAGAAATAAAGTGATACAGAAAATAAAAGAAGGAAAAGTGAGAGAGAGAAAAAATAACACAACAACAAAGATACATATAAAAGCGAAAATATACAAAACAAGAAACAACATATGATATTCCCATACATTCTTGTATAAACTGGTATAGTGTTATTGTCCTACTGCTTATGTAAATGTTAATAGCCTACTACATTTTGTAAAAACTCATTCCAAATGTTATCGTATCTATCCATACAGAGCCTGCGCCTGTAAGCAGTCAGTTCCTAAATTGCCAGTGATATCATATCATCAGTCCATTGATTGAAGGGTAACATATTTTTATTTTTCCAATTCCTCAATATCAATCTCTTGGCCACCATTAGGACACGGAAAATCCAATTCTGTTGTCCCGTTGATAATTTCCATACTGCAGGTATTGTTACGATATTGAAGCAATGCAGCCGCGAGCTGTTAGCTTGAAAACAGCACATGATGGAATGTTAGGACTGTTCCGTGGGAAACAGAGGGACAGTCAATTCACAGGGCAATGCACTGGAATTAGCTCAGAGTGTAATATGAGCTCTTCCTTTTGCTCTTGTACAGGAAGTACAGGTTTTGTTTCTCTCTCGACTGCAGGAGTATGAAGAGAGCAGTCATGTTTTCTGTAACACTGCAAAGACAGAAATAAAGGCATGTAAATACGTTTCTGTCTATCTCTTTCCCCTGCCGGGGGGGCAGGAAAGAGGGGTGTGTTCTTCTCACGCTGAGAAGGATCGCCTATCGCGACCTCTGCCTGGATCTTGCCGGGAAAGCAGACAGGGAGGTCAACAGGAGACCAAGCCGGGTGCCTGGGAGAGTTGCCAGTTTCTCCTGATAAAGGCTTGATTTCCGACAGGTATATAGCTCAATAAAATATTATCTGCTGAAAGATTTAACTTTTTTTGCACAGTGATAGTTACACAGCCTAGCACTTTCTTCCAAAACTTGTTAAGTAAAGAACACTGTACAAACATGTGCTTCAGAGAAGCATTGTCCTTGCCACATCTCCAATACTGAGCTATATTAGCTAACCCTTTATTAAAGGTAAAGGGACCCCTGACCATTAGGTCCAGTCGTGGCCGACTCCGGGGTTGTGGCGTTCATCTCGCTTCATTGGCCGAGGGAGCCGGCGTACAGCTTCCGGGTCATGTGGCCAGCATGACTAACCCGCTTCTGGCGAACCAGAGCAGCACACAGAAACGCTGTTTACCTTCCTGCCAGAGTGGTACCTATTTATCTACTTGCACTTTAACGTGCTTTCGAACTGCTAGGTTGGCAGGAAACCCTTTATTATACAACCGTAAATATTATTTTCTGTTGTATTAGTCTTAATTTTAAGTAATGACACCTTAGGTATTGAAGCTAATACACTTTCCCACTATCTGGGTAATAATGAAAGTTCCATCCAGGTCTTTATTCCAATCATCTTTTACATCACCTTTTACAGTCTGCATATTGAATTTGTGCATTGTTAATAGATCCTGCAATTTGTTGATTGCTGTTCCTAAGCACATCTCATGAGAGCATAAGAAGAGCTCCCCGTTCTCACCAAATCTGCTGCTGCCTTGGATGATTTTGGACAACCATGGTCATTCTCCTCTTTGCCCAACAGCCTGGTTAGTGATGCAATTTGCAGCCTGGTTCTTATGCAATTTAAAGCTTTCAATACATAGAAAACAGTGTTGTTCCCTTCTCAAAAAGGGAGTAGTCATCAGTTATCACCATACTGAAAGTTATTCAAAACCCATAGAAAATTGCATAAGTCAGGTCTGAGAATTGACCATTAACATGGGTAAAAGTGTGTTGGTGGGAAGTGGTGCACAGTGTCTGTGCTTGGCAGATTGAGTTTCATCCAGAGATACCTGGTACAGGCACTAGAAGGACTCCACCTACCCATCCTGAAATATTGGCTCCCTTCAATAGAACGGTAAAGGCTTCCTAATGTCAGCTCCGTGAATCTCAAGCCTCTTGTGCCTCCGCTGCCAGAGCCTGAGAACGCAAGAGATGTGATTAGGTTGGAATGTGAAGCGGGGAAGGAGCAGCCAAGCTGCAGTAGGAGCCTGATCTCACAGAACAAAGAGCAGGAAGAGGAGAAGCTGGGGTGGGGGGTGGGGGACACAGACTGTTAGCTCCAGTTCGAACTGTTACAGAAAAATCTCAGTCACCCAGTTCGTCAGGCAGAGTCTGCGGGTCCCTGCGGAATAAAGGAAGGAGTCCAGCCACCAACCGGAGCAAATAGCTGTAGACCAAAGTTTATTGTGCAACAGGTTCAAAGAGGAATTTTGAACCCCAAGGATGGGGTGACAATGACGTTTTAAAAAAACTTCCTCACCATATCCCAGAATACAGTTCGTACGGCATCATTGCTACATCATTGCTACATCACTGACATGTCACAAAAGGGCAGGGGTAGACAGTGCAAGTAGATAAATAGGTAAATAGATAAATAGGGGTTACACTAGTTAAACCTTGGCAAACATGTCCAGACAAGCACTTGGTACAAGATTAGCATAAGCAGACATGGCAGGGCAAAACCCAGGTATAAGATTAGCATAGGCAAACCCCTCTGAAGTCACACCACCCAAAGTACAATAGAACTTCCTTTGCATGTCTGGACCCCTTGGCAAGTCTGGTGATGGGATTAGGCTTTCCTTGGCCAACAATCAGCTCAGCAATTGTCACCTCTGGGCACTTCTTGGCGTAGGAGGTGTGTATACATGTCCTCACGCTTGGGGAGGTGGCAGGCAAAAGAGTCATTTTTCCAAGGGCAAAATAGTCTTGAAATGGAGGAAACTGGCAAAGGAGTTGATTTAATATGATTGTTAAAGCTAGGTAACTTCCCTGAGCTGTCAAGGCGAAAGGATACATTTATGCATAATATTTGTAACATTTAACAACTTTAAAGATGTGCCCCCCCCCCACGTAATTTCCGTAACAGAACTCTGACTCAGAGACCCCGGAAACAGCCTGTCCAAAAAATTGTAGGCTCGAGAGAATCTGCAAGAAGAGGGGAAAAGAAAAAAGTGAAAGTGGTGGCTTCATTGCTGAAGGAGGAAGGGGTGGAGCTCAGACTCGGCAACTGCAAGCGGGGATGAACACGCCGAAGACGGAGCTCCGCAGTGATTTATGAGTTTGAGCAATAAACCTGAGATAATTACTGTTAAGTTGTGGGTGAACTTATCAGACGACACAGTGATTCTTCAAACAGCAGCTCTTGTTTATTCACAGGCCAGAACAGAACTGAACTGCAGGGTTCAGCCAGCTCCACTACAACACAACAGTAACCATTTTCTGTAACTATCCAGTCACTGAACGTCACTTTCGATCCCTTATTTGCATATGTGGACCTGAGTGAAAACTATCTACAGTATCCCCCTGCTGGCCCAGGGTGAGAACTTCAGTACATAACAATTACTGCTGGAGTCATCTCGCTTCTGTGAGGGAGAACCAAGCCATTACACCTATTCAGGTTGGGGCATTCCCTGAGGACAATGATAGTCTTTCCTGACTCAGGCTTATTCTGTGCCCCTTCATTCTGAGCCCTGCCTCTCCTCAACAGCTCAGATATAATTTACCAGCCTTATCATGTATTTCAACGCATCCAGAAAGGTCTCAAACATTATGCCCAGCCTTCCATTGGGACATACCCAGTATGTCCTAGAGCTGCAGGAAGCTCTAAGTCTCTGAATAGATCCTCTTGGGATATTGTCCTCTAATGAAGTCTTCACCAGCAGGGCACTGCTTCTCTGGTGGTGGTGCAGCAGGTGGCATGGCATGGCATGGTGGCAACAGGGTGTGTCATCACTTCCAGTTTCACCTTAAGTGGTAAAATGGGACATGCTGCCCCTGTAATGACATGCTTGACATGCTGCAAGTGAATTTCTCACAGAGACTTGCCACATAAATGGCCCAGATTAAAGGAAACAGCTGAATAAAAAGAACAGCTGAGTTTAAAAATGAGAGAGAGAAAAAACAAAGTGTGAAAAGATACATATTCTGGATCACTTGACAATCATATGGTCAGTGCACATAATACAAAATCACCATCTGCCAGGGAACGAATAAAGATAAGCGGGACCAAATAATTAGAAGTTTTCAGTCAAGTACAAACCCTATAATTTATCAAATGAATTACAAAGCAGGATTTATTTACTAAAAAGGTGAATTTATTCAATGCAGTTGTGGTGAGTTTTTAATGACAAGTGAAACCTCACGTTTAAGAGCCTGGAAAACCGAAGTGGTTTATTATTTATCATTGTTATTATTTATTATCACACCTTTCTCCCAAGTGGAGATTCAAGGCAGCCTACAACATTTTAAAACAACACTATAAAATACAATGTAATAAAATCAAACTAACTAAAAACAATAATTAAAATACATGAAAACACATTTAAATTAGCAGTTAAAAACAGTTTGGCCTGGTGCTCAGCATTTTCTGCACCTTAATTTCCAAAAGCCTGTCTGAGCAAGAAGGTCTTAGCCTGCTGGCAGGAGGATAACAAAGAAGGAGTCTGACTAACCTCTCTTAGGAGGGAATTGGGTAATATGGAAGCAGCCACAGAAACGGCTCTCTCACTCATCACCTCCAACTATGCTTCTGATGTTGATGGCATTGACAGAAGGTGCTCTTCTGAGGAGGTTAGCACCTGGGCAGGTTTGTATACTCAAGCCTCAAGCCATATAGGGCTTTATGGGTAATAACCGGCACTTTGAATTGTGCCCAGAATTGGACCGCTAGCCAGTGAAGTTGCTGTAATAAGGGAGTAACATGCTCCCTGCAACCAGCCCCAGTCAGTTGTCTTGGCTGCAGCATTGTAGACCATCTGAAACTTCTGAACATTTTTTAAAGGCAGCCTCATGTAGAGAACATTACAGTAGTCCAACCAGGATGTAATTAAGGCATGCGTCACCATGGCCAGATCCGACAGCTCAACAAACAGGAGCACTTTATCAGGCCCCATTCAGATTCTATGCCAGTGTAAAGAAGGAATAAGGTATGAACTACCATATACATTTTTGCATGGGTGCCAATGGAGGATTTCCTTCCAATTCACATATTAACTTCGGAGGATGGATCACAATAGGAGAGGAAAGGGCTAAATCTCCTCCCTGCCTGCTCTGATCTTGACTGTTATCAGCCCCGCTTCCAGTTGTTGCTATTCACATTTTAAAAACCAAACAAATATTTATGTTAAATGCAAAGACACATTTAATACTGTGCCTTGTTTGACCCGAAGCCAGCAGGCCTGCACTGAAAACACAAAGAGAAGACCAGGAGCCAAAGATGTTATAAAAGGTGACAGCTTTATTAAATTAACTTGGAAAAGAATAGAGGACCACTGTAGGAATCAATATTTAAGCCTGCCCTTAGATTTGTATAATATAATCAGTCTTTGCTTCTTGGAATGATAGAAAATTCAGTTTCAGGGGGCTTTTAGGAATTGATTTCAGCAGGCTTATAGCCGTCTAGTTAATTGTCTATTTATTCTGAAGTAAATGCAGTATCAGGATGGTGTATATGCACCTATTTACCACATGAAGATGGACCACAGCAGCTCTTCTTGAGAGCCATTATCTTAAGCTAAAACATGTTGGGTCTATTTTCTTTGTAGTCTCCTGAGCTGTTCTTTGGAAGCTGATATTGCCAGCTATTAATGCTGTTCTCAAAGCCATGTTAAAATATGATTACATTTAAACTCCGACGCTATTGTATATACTGTGCACAGGACACAGGTATGAAGCTCTGAGAAACAGAATAAAATTTGCCAAGAGCATAGGAATTACCGGTATATATATATAGAGAGAGAGAGAACAAAGGCGGGGAACCTGTGGCTTTTGGTTAGCTTGTAGGATTCCCACAGGCATCTTGTAGTCCACTGTGAGGATGCTGGACTAGATGGGCCATTGGCGAAATCCAGCAGACTCATCTTACGTTCTTAGAATGCAAAGATATAACCTAGGGAAGATCTAACCTGCTTAAGTGCCAAGACCCCTGGAATCTTGCTATTGCTTGGCACAGATGGGAGTGGCCTATACCACTATGGTCCTATAAAGCAAACAGCAGCTTCGGTGATTGACTGTGACAATTTAAATGGGTAAATAACATTGGCTTAGGGAGCTTTTAACAAAATCCTCTGCTAATACCACAGCCCTGCTCTGATTCAGGACCTAATGTGGTTGTTATTAACTACTTTTTCCTCTCTCTAAAGGGCAAATTTTAATGAAAAAAGAACTTGTGCATATTTCTCTGTGGTTCCCCCCCATAAAGCACATGAAAAGCACAGTGGTGTTTTCTCTTAACTATTGTCCTTCTGGGATTTCTAATTGAATAGTGCCAGAGTATATACAAAATAGGGACACGGGTGGCGCTGTGGGTTAAACCACAGAGCCTAGGACTTGCCGATCAGAAGGTTGGCAGTTCGAATCCCTGTGACGGGGTGAGCTCCCGTTGCTTGGTCCCTGCTCCTGCCAACCTAGCAGTTCGAAAGCACATCAAAGTGCAAGTAGATCAATAGGTACCGCTCTGGCAGGAAGGTAAACAGTGTTTCAGTGCGCTGCTCTGGTTTGCCAGAAGCGGCTTAGTCATGCTGGGCACATGACCCGGAAGCTGTATGCCAGCTCCCTCAGCCAATAAAGCGAGATGAGCGCCGCAACCCCCGAGTCGGCCACGACTGGACCTAATGGTCAGGGGTCCCTTTACCTTTACTTTTTTATATACAAGATAACTAGCACATGACAATTCAGGTCTTTTAGATTCACCTCTGTCATTCAGGAGGACCCAAAATAGATATCGGTTTCAGATTTCCAGAATATTCAGCAATGTAAGTTAGCACAATTAAATCATAACTAATGAATGAGGCATGAATTGCTGCTTCAGGCCAAGGGACAACTACCCCAAAGTGCCTGGATTGTAGCAATATTATTCAGAGGTGGCACTCTGACCCTTTTCATAGGCCTCACTAACACTACAGTTGTGGAACTTAGAATTTTATGGCTTCAGACAGAGTTATTATAACTATTAACACCAAGTTATCTGCAGAACCTAAAGCTCTTCACACACAGTTAGCCATTTCAATTCTCACAATGCTTTAAATAAAGCAACAAGCAGCCCTTAGCCTCTTTGCCACAACCTTTTAAAATATGGATCACAGAAAGAGCTGGATTGTCTCTGAAATAATAACTTTTGTGTGCCTTTATTTTCCATGCAATGCTATTTGCCAATGCACTCCATGCAGAACACCTGAAATTAAATTCTAAGTAGCATTTATGAAGAGGAAGTAAATTTTAAGCCTTCACACCAACATAATTAAGGCAGATGGATAGCTTTTTATACTTCCATTCTGAATCTGAAAATGAACTTGTCCACTTTTAGAATCTTCCCCATGGTTCAAATATATGGCTCTTATTAAAGATAAATTGTAGCAAATATGCCTTTATTACCCATATGTCTACATGAAGAGACTGATGGATGAGTCTATGTAAGATCTACATAAAAATTCTTCTTGGGTAAGGTTTAACCATTAACCAGATCATTTTATTCAATCCCCAAGTGTCAAGTATAGGAAATGAGCACCTAAATAAGAACTTATTAAGAATATTAATGATATTGTCATATTATTTTAATCAACTGGAGGAATTTTAGAATTTAAATAAATGGGCAGCGCTGTTGGGACAAAGAGTGGCAAGATATGTTACACTCTTTAGCATAAAACTTGTATTTATCCTTCATCGCCCTATACTATATGCCAGGGATGGGGAACTTGTGTTCCTCCAGATGTTGCTGAACTTCAACTCATATCAGCTCCAGCCAGCATGGCCAGTGGTCAAGGATGATGGGAGTTTGAGTTCAGGAACTTCTAGGGGGCTACAGGTTCCCTCAACCCTGCTATATGCCCTGCAACACAGTGACAGTGGAACATACCAAGACAGGACTGAATCTTGGACTCCCAGGCTGTTCATGGCTCTCAAACACATCCTCAGCTGGAGCTGGCCCTGCTTCCTCTGCAAAAGCAGTGGGAGACATTGGATGTGGTGTACTGTCATCACAGATGGCTCCATCAGTGGAGTGGAATGATAAATGGGCTTTTCTGAGGCTGCTGCTACATTGGGTTTGACCAAGTGACCTAGTCACACCCAGTGCAGATACAGACAAAAGAAAAGGAACAAATCATTCAGAGATACAGTGGGCAGCCTCCTTCGTGGAAGGGGTCACAAGAGTGTTAAATTACCTGAGTGTTAAATTAACTGAGTGTTAAATTAAATCCCTGACTGCTTTTGCCTAAAGGGGGTGTATTGTTTTATTGTTTTCGTTTAACTGTGAACCACCCTGATATCTTGTGATGACGGGCACAGTGCTGGATTTATGTATAAGTTAAACAAGCTATAGTTTAGGGCCCATTCTCTTGGGGGCCCCCACAAAAAATTAACGGGGGAAAAAGCTGTATGTACTTTGATAAAATACATATTATGTTATGTGTGAATGGCTTTAAATACCTATTAGGTCCATAAATTACCATATAGCATATATTCAACACAATAAACAGTGACAATTTGTTATTGATAAAGGACAGCTGGACATATAAAGGGCCCTGTTACCTTCAGTAGCTTAGGGCCTCATCAAACCTAAATCTGGCCCTGGACAGGAAATCATATATATATATATATATATATATATATATATATATGAGGAGTCGAATGGAAAGCGAAGCTGTTTTCTGGCAATTCCTTCCCCGCTGCATCTCCCTGCACATATTCAGAGGTTTGGGGACTCACTACATTGTATAGTATACTACAACTGTAGTATAGTGTAGTGAGAGCCCAGGCATATGGCAGTCGATAGATTCAGTGAGGTCTGTGAGGTCTCTTTCACAGCTGCTTATCTGGTATTCTCACAAGGGAGAGTCAACTCCTAGTTCCAGCATGTTGTGGAGTTGCAAGGGGCTCACCCTCTGTTCCTGAGGAAGCCTCACCTGACTCAGGCACCAGGACCTAGTAGATCCGGACAACAGGAAATGCTCTCAATAGACTTCTGCCTTTTCAAGACCCACATTTAACCCAAACATGCATCTGGGGAGTCATTTCTTAACCTTTCCCCACATGTTTGAATGGTGGTAGTGTTGCTATTGTGTCCGACCAGGTAGCGGATCCCGACCTACCATCTGAAGACCACTGCTCTATACCAGCCTTCCAAAACTTGGTGCCCTCAAGATGTTGCAGGGCTCCCATTAGCCAAAGGCAATGGGGCCAATGGTTAAGGATGCTGGAATTGTAGTCCAAAACTGTCCGAAGAGCACAAGGTTGGAAAAGGTCGCTCCACAAAATGTGGCTAAATAGGGAATGCTATCTAAATAGCCCTCCCTTATATCATTTCCCAATTTGTACAAGTGTGTCAGAGGAGGACGCAGTCCATACAATCGTTCCAGCATTCCCTTCATACTTTTAAGTGCCTTTCAAAATATTATTCACAACCTCTAAAAGCAGCATTTGCAAAACTATATGAGCTGACAAAATATTATCTCCTAAACGCGACGGTTTTAGACTATGAATTTATTCTGCTGTGTAATAAATCGCTGGAAAATGAAACAAAGTCAAGATATAATCTTATAAGGCAGCTAACATATACAGTAGTTTCCCATAAAGAACTTTTAATAAAGTGACGGAGCAAGATAAGGTGACAAAGCCTGCAATGTTAATGCACCCACAGGAGATGAGTGTATCAGTGTCCGCATTACAGTGTAATTTGTGTGTAAACTTAAATATAGGCATTAAAGTGGTGATAATTGATAAGTTGAAACTCTCGGGTGGGTTTAAACAATACGGAAATGGCTGCTGTAGTTTTGCTTTAAGAATGAGAGGGAAATAAAGAGAACAAGTTCTCTCAGCACAAATAATCAAATCAAGCAGCAGAAATGTGTTTTAAGAGATACCAAGCATGGTCAAATCAATGGCAAAACTCTCAGTAACTTCTTGCTAAATTAATAAAACGATTCTGGAGTCTGAACTCAGCCTAGAGATCCACTGCTGATCCATTGACTTGTTTAATAACACACCTGAACATTCAGAACAATTATGTATCTGTTCCAGACACAGGTTCCATGTATATAGGAAACAATGTGTTGAGATTTTAAAATCACAAAAAGGAAAGGTAAATATCACAAAGGGACTGCCATACTACAGTCAGTGAGTGCTCTTTTAATGCAGCTTGCCAAAGATAAACTGTATGTAGCAATATTTACCATAAAAGATGTCTGAGATTGGTATGGATGATTTTATGTAAACTGCCTTGAGCACTGAATGATGGAAATGTGAGATATAAAAGTCTAGAACAAATAAATGGCTGGAGGGTCAGGTTCAGCATTTATAGCCAGAAGCTGAGTGAAATTTAGTGCTGAACAACAGTTTGTGCATTTGATACGCTATGAGTACAACTTTAAGAAGCCACTTCTCTGTGATCCCTTCCACACTATACATCTAAAGCACTATCATACTACTTTAAACAGGCATGGCTTCTCCTGAAGAATTCTCGGAACTGCATTTGTTCAGAGAGTTGATAGGAGACTCCCTAGTCCCCACACGGAGCTACAATTCCTAGGGTTTCTGGAGAAGAGGGATCCCGACAATTGTAGGGATGTGGTTCTCAAGTCACAATTAAAGTGGGTTAAAGCAGTCTAGTGCAACAAAAAATATACCTTTTCGTAGTTAGGAAAATGACAGGGAAATGCAATAAAAAGTGTGGGATAATGATCAGTTGATGAGAATATCTATAACCTCAGCACAAACAAATCAGAATGAATCAGCATAAATGCTCATTGTCATATAATGTCCCCCAAACAAACCAGAATGAATGCTCAGTAAAGAGCTGAGTTCATCTAACTTCCATGTAAGCTTTGTGTAAGCAAATCAGAATGAAATGCACAATAAGCAGCTCATTTGGAGGAGCCCTATGTTGATGATTCACACATTGTTGCTGATGTAAGTATACTGCTCCCATGACCACACAATCTTCTCTGGATGTTTCATCTAGTCTAGGATGTCCTGCTGCAGGATTGGACAATGGAACAGATGATTCTTTTCCCTCATCCCCAAATGGACTTTTTGATCAGATGATACAACTTTATGAGACTGTTTGAGTAGATTTAGTTACATCCCGCCCGCCCCCCCCCCAAAAAAAACACCCACACCACTTTTTATGATGATAGGACACAGCACTTGCAGGTTCATTAAAGCTGTTTAGAAACAGCAATCACATTGGCTTGTATTTATATTTTGCTAAAACGTCAGGGTGGCCAGTCTGTGCTAAGATGTGCAGTTTTCCCCTGAACTCTCTATAAGCAGAAATTGAACTGGTGGGATCAGGGGCGAGGTTTGCTCATTGGCCCTCATTCCCACAGCAGTCTTAAATCGCCAACGTCCCTGCAAACAGTAACACTGCCATCATAACAAAAAGGCTCTTTCCCCTTTGCTGACCTCCATCTGACACAGCTGGCGTAGTGCTGGCATAAGCGTAGTGCTGGCACAGCTGGCATAAGAACATAAGAAGTGCTTGCTGGAGCAGGCCTTTGACCCATCTTGTCAACCATCCTGTTTTCACAGTGGCCAAAGAGATGTCTGTAGGCAACCTGCAAGCAGGACCTGAGCACAAGAGCACTCTCCCTTCCTATAGTTTCTAACAACTGGTATTTAGAAGCATATTGCCTCCAACCACGGAGGCAGAACATAGCCGTAATGGTTGTGCTTCGAGGCCCCCAAGCGCTTCCCCTGAAAATAACTTCACACTGACACGTAATTTTAGTTTAAGTTATTGGGCAAAATTTAGGCCACAACTTTATTGATTACAGCAAAGTGAGCGGTGTTGGCTTAGGCATTGGCAACAGACTATAACTGACTCCTGCCTCTCTGGCTGGTAGTCTGAAAGGGTAAACACCAAACAAGGAAGCAACATCGATGAAGACCAACCGAACCTCACCCTGGGGTTCCTGTGGTCCTGGCATGGTCCTAGCCCCTCAAGCAGACTTCGGACGAGATCCAGGACCCCCAGATTCCTTTACCGGAATACCCTTATTCATGGAGGGGCAGGCAATGGCCGCACCTCCCCTCCCACACACTTCAATAAGCCAATGCCTAACCGCCAAACCTTACAAAGTTGTGACGATTGCTAAGGGTGTTGGCGAAAACCAAGTGGCTACATCCAATCTACCAAATGGAAAAAAATCCTACCCAGCCCCTGCTCCAAAGCAGGCAACCCAATCCAAAGCAAGGCCAAAGCAGCAGCACCTAAAATTAGGGAGGGAGGGCGGGTGTTCGGCAGCGTGATGCAAGTACCCTCAGTTACTCCGCGCTGCCGCTTTTATAGGCCCCAGGAATCGCGCCAACTGTCCCGATTGGCCCAAACAGCCTGGCGCGATCCTGGGGCCCAATGGTTAAGGCTTGGGCTATGCCCAGCAACAGCTCTCCCAGTGGCGGTGCCTTAGGGGCCCACACACAACTGGGACCCTCATTTAGGAGGATCCCATTTAGTAGCTATGGCTATGAGCTGAGAGGAGCAGAAGAACTCTCCATCAGAGACAGGGAACCTGTGGAGGAACCCGGGGGCTTGGTGTCAAAGTTATACTTTGTATTAAGAAAAGATACATGAAGACACAGCTTTGTTGGTCCTGGGGGGGGTCTGTTTTCCTTCTGATATCCCTAGGACAATCAGCCACAAAGTGTACATTAGCACTATGGTATACTTTCTAGAGGCACACCTGATAGGATACTGTTTGCACATTTTTGGGCTTTAGTGGTACTATTTAGAATTTTACCAGCATATACGTTGGGAAAAAAAGAATACCAAAAGCATGTGGTCCTCAAACAGCTCATTAGTTTAGTGAACTGTGCATAGCCAGAGAGAATTATAACAAGCGTGTCTGTGCGTAGGGAAAAAATGTTATCAGTTAATAGAGCTCAGAAGGAAGCTGTTTCTTCTATAAGTGAAGGGCAAAATCCTACCTATAAAGCAAGGAACAGGGATTATATTACTTTATTAAAATTAAACTAACTCCCCATAAATCATCTTTTGTATGCTGTTTCAGAGCTAATTTTGGCCTTACCTTCCTTCAGAACTGCTGCTGCAAGTTAGGGTTCGTTTAACAAAATAATAAAATACAATTCCTATTTCCATCCTAGAGGACAGTACTTTTTCTCTAACCTGCTGATGGATTAAAATACCAAAGCAGCAGATGGGAGTTTTTAATCTACTAATTACAGTGACTGATGAGATGGGATCTTTGCTGAAATGCACAAACTAATAATATCCCCCACACCACCTTTAAGATAGGGCTCAGCTATACAGTGGCGAATGTGTTTTTCAAAATGTTTTTTTTAAAAAAAACACATTTTCACAGAGTTTATTTTTATATATGTGTGTGTAGATTCCACAGTCTCTGACTAATGAGAGATGAAGAAGAAGTTATTAACAAACAGATCATGTTTTATGTACTCCTTTTGGATAACTCATATGGACTGTTCGGGCATTCAACCATGTAGCAATGAAAACAGAGAGGTAGAGGCAGGATTTGGCCATTGGCTCCACCACTGACCTCCATGTGTTGACTCAAACTTTAGAACAGAGCCTACATGGGCAGAGGTGCAGCTGGGTAATTTAAGGCTGCATTCACACAGCAGTTCATTTCTCTTTTCTGACATGTCCCTAACGGTTGATTTCCAAATTATACTTCAGCTTTCACATGATGTAAAAGCCACTTCTGGAAAATGAATTGAATATAGAGCATGTTTTCAGTGGAAATAGTTGATGCAAACAGTTTAGTCTGGGACTGATGGGGCCAATTGCACATCCCTTGGGAGGGAATTTCACCAAACTGAAAAGACCCCGCCTCTAGTGTGTTGGGAAACTGTGTACGTGAAGCTACTCACACAGAGTCAATTAAGGTTTGGCAGACAGCCAGAAGGCAATCTGAAAGAGTAAGTCTACCTGGTGATAACAGAGACATGGAGACCCCTCCCTGATTGGTCAAGCTCTCTCAAAGGAGTGATAATTAATGGCCTACTAACTGGAATGCATTAGTTCAGAGTTCAGAGGTTCAGTTGTTCTGTGTCAGTGTAGGAGTTGGAGGTTGGGAGTTGTGAGTCGTGTCAGAGAGAGCTAGCTAAAGATCCGTGTTCTGTTCCTGTAAATAGTCCACTGTATATAATAAACACCTAACTACAAGTTCCTGGTTCCTGTTTCGTCTATCCTGTCTGCAGCCAAGTCGCCAATTTCTTCCGTGGATTCTGCGTGTGCTCTGCTAGGTCTGGCTAAGGTCCTGCAACTAGTCAGAAAGTTGCGAAACACCAAACAGGTTTTATCAATATAGTGTTCACCACTAGTGCCTTAATGCTTCTGTGAGTGAGAAAGTCCATGCTAAGTGTTTTTGGTTTTTGGTTTTAATCAAGGGTGGATCTGACAGAAAACAATATACTGTTGTGGAAGCAAGACTATGGGTATAATCAGTGCTTTTCCCCCCTAGAAAAATAGGTGCCAGTACTCACCATGAAGTTGTTATAGTAAAAGCCACACTTTTTAACAACAACAAAAAAGGAGGTGCTGGTTCTTCATACCCTTGAGTACCCCTGAAAAAAAGCACTGGGTATAATTAAGAAATTGCCTTGCACCTCAGGGCCGGATTTAGGTTTGATGAGGCCCTAAGCTACTGAAGGTAATGGGGCCCTTTATATGTCCAGCTGTCCTTTGTCAACAACAAATTGTCCTAATAGGTATCTAAAGCCATTTGCACATAACAAATAGGAGCCTACACAACACAAAACACTGTTGCTGAATGTAGGTTTTATTTTATTTGTTTTTAATCTTAAATTTTGGAAATGTACATCCAGTTTTTTCCACTTTTAATTTTTTGGGGGGCCCCCAAGAGAGTGGGGCCCTAAGCTATAGCTTGTTTAGCTTATACGTAAATCCGGCACTGCTTGCACCGCAGGGCTCATCCAAGCATGCTGATACCTCTTGTTTCTCAGCAGCTCTTTTCAGGCTTCACTCTTGTTAGGTCTCAACCACAAATTCTCTGATAGATGAGAGAAGGATGTTTCTTTAATATTATTTTCTGGTTTAATATAATATCTACGTATTGCCCAAGTTCAACAAATCCACTTTTTAAAAAATTGACTTTTCGCTGTTATGGAACTGATGGGGAAATGCACTGAAAAGTGTAGGATGAACAAATGATTAATAGGGGAACATATAAACACCTTGCAAGCAAAACAGGGTTAATGCTCATTGCCATATCAGCATCCTGCAAACAAAACAGGTTCAATAAAGACAAGGCATAGTCTAACCTCTGCATAAGCTTTGTGCATGCAAATCAAGATGAATGCTCAATAAATAGGTCACCTAGAGGAGCCCTTAACTGTTGGATATATTCATCTTTGCAGTGGCAACCTGTCAGCTCTCAGATTTCAACGGTGTCCTGTGCAACACTAAAATTTGGCACCCCCTCCCCGTCTTTCATGTACCAGTCACACTACCCTAAAATCACCTCTGATCTTTGAATAGCGAGTCCTAACAATTTCTAGGTACACTTTAAAGCTATTTATGGCTTCAAACGCTAAATATCTATATATAAAATACCTTGCAGATACTTTTTCTGCAAGCATTTATGAAGCCTGAGGGGGGAGGGGAAAAGTACCTGGAAAACCAGTTTCTAGGTGGCTCTTGTCACTGCTTTCTTCCAGATTTATGTCACTTTGTGGGCTCATCGTTTTTGCTGCAATGGAAAAAATATTTACTGTTTGAAAAATGGGAGAGGGGGAATCATGGCACAATTTGCATGGCAATTTTCACAGAAGGTTAGGAAGCAGCCAGGCTTGCAGGCATGACCTCCCTCATTCTGGCACGTGATTGCCATTTTCTCTCCTAGGGTATGAAGCTCTTTTTGAGTAGATTGTCCTTTAATAATGGCGTGTTCACTGTAGCTTTAAATTGCCTCTTATGCAGAATCCCAGGAAAGAAAATAATGAATGAAAAGTGGGGAGGGGGGAGCACTTTTCACAAGGTGCTTGCAAGCTATATGTCTCCCTGCAGGGTAGATGCCTGTAAAAGGCATCTTATTAAATCACATCATAAATGACCCATGTAGTCTAGTTTATTTTAACAATAGCTAAGTAAAGAGGCATCAGGCCAAATAAATCAAAGGGAAACAAGGTAATAATTGTGTATCACTTCATATGTTCAAAAATATGGAAGTAATGATGCAAAAGTGTGATTAAAAAGAACATTATTTTATTAGCCGGGAGGACCAGCTCTTTTTTGTGTGCATCTGGAACACAATGGCCCTGTATATTTTGGTGTAATGAAGGACTAGGGCCTGGGAGACCAGGGTTCAAATTCCCACACAGTCTTGAGGCTCATTCTTGGCCTAAGCTACCTCACAGGTTAGGCACCGGGTGATGAGTGGGTGGGGGATGGCAGGCCAAGTCTGCGTTAGGGCAGCAGCGCATGTGTGATGTCATGCCCAAAGTTGGGCACAACTCACACCTCTGACAGGTGGTATGTGAAGCATGAAGCTTGGATACAGCTCATGGTCTGCCTAAGTTTGGATGTGCTGCAAAGCTAAACCATGACTTGGTTCCTGACAGTGTGGCAGCAGCAAGAGCAGGGAAGGACCAAAGTTGCCTCGATTTTCACCCTGTGCATCCACAAGCTGTAGGTTCAGCTTTAAACCATACTGGTTTAAAGTGACATACAAACTAGGCCAGTCTATGCACCTGGCAACAAAGCAAGGAGTGACTGGCCTGGCTATCTCAGTTATGGAAGAGAAAGGAGCAGCTCCAGCTCTTTGATAGGAGGCATTGGCTCGGTTTCCTTGGACTGGTTGTACCTTATGAAGGTGGCAGTATTATGGTCTAAACCACTGAGCCTCTTGGGCTTGCTGATCAGAAGGTTGGCGGTTTGAATCCCCGTGACGGGGTGAGTTCCCGTTATTCGGTCCCAGCTCCTGCCAACCTAGCAGTTCGAAAGCATGCCAAAAAGTGCAAGTAGATAAATAGGTACCACTCCGGCGGGAAGGTAAACGACGTTTCTGTGCGCTCTGGTTTCCATCACGGTGTTCCGTTGTGCCAGAAGTGGTTTAGTCATGCTGGCCACATGCTGGCCAGAAAGCTGTCTGGACAACCCCAGCTCCCTCGGCCTGAAAACGAGATGAGTGCTTCAACCCTTAGACTGGACTTCTGTCCAGGGGTCCTTTACCTTTTTACCTTATTGTATGAACCACTGCAGTTGTAAAAGGTAGTGAGCGACCGCGTTGCCATGGTGACAAGTATACACTGCTTTGATCTAAAAGGTGGTACAGTAACAAAGTTTTACTTCCTCCCAAATCAGCACTGGCTTAGTGCTGAGACTTGCCAATGTCCACAGAATTGTAGAGCTGGAAGGGGACTTCAGACATCAAGTAGTTCTATCCCTTGCTAATGCAGGAAATCTACTATTGCAGCATCTTTTATAGGTATCCGTCCAACCCCCAGGGAGAAGGGTTCAGGGAGCATGCATGGAGAATGGGAAGCCGGGGATAATTGAGAGGGAGCTGAGAGACAAAGTGGAGGAAGCGCAGATGACAGAGAGAGCATGCATTACTGAGGGAGAAGCACAGCGGGGAGAGAGATTCTGCTCAAATCCACTGATTTGAAGCTAAGGGGAGGGTTGTGTGTGCTGGAATTTATTAGTCAGAGTTGGCTGCAGGCCTCTATTAAGTCTTTAAGCCACCTGTCTCAGACACGGCACATCTAGTGATGTTGCAAAAATACCTTGAGGTCATATTATAGGTTCCACCTCCTGCTTCCTATTTGCTCACTAGTGTTGCAAAAGGATGCTATATTTTTTATTTTGAGTGTTCTGTTATGTGATAGCTCAATGAGATGTTGCCATTGCCAGCTGCACCATCCTCTCTGTTTGTCCTTTTATTCCTTTGCTCATTTGATCGCATTGGGAGCATCACAAGGAACTTTCTGCTAAACCAATTAACTCCCCCACTGTGAGGAAAGCGGAAGGGAGAAGAAAAGCAAAACAAAACAATAAGAAGAACAAGCAGCTATTACCAGGCCCTCTCAAACAAGGAAAGATAAACAGAAAATCTGTACATTAGACCTGCACAACCTGCAGCTCATGAAGCTGAACACATCCCATCAGCCATATATGGCAGCTCACCGGGAGATCAATAAAGCTATTTTTGCTGGCTGCCTGAGACTTCAAGAACAGGAGAGCTGTCAAGCCCACGGCAGGCTATACAATGGCTAGGTTTGCACATCATGTTAAACCATGGCTTATTTTAGTCATACTTATTTTAAGCTCATTTTCTTTACCCCCAACTCCACACCTGAGCATCAGAGCTCTGCGGAATTTAATGGGCGAATGGTCTGTTAAATTATAGAAATTCCAAAATGTCCCACAAAATCTTAAAATTGCAGATTCTGGGCCTAGGAGCTGACAAACGAAATTCACAGCATGCCGAGTGTTTCGGGAGCCTGCGGGGATGACAAAAGCTCAGCACAATCACATATAATTATTCTTCTCACTTGCGACTGTGAAGCAGTTTGGTGTGCATACCAGAAAGAAGTTTCAAAGGGTTTTGAAGGAGCAATTAAAGACCACCGAGTTACAAAATACCTGGCCAAAATGACATCTAAATTGTCCTTGTGCATTTTGGGGATTAAGAAAAAAAATCATTCATGGCCCAGTCGTGCCTGGAATTTGCAATAAAGCACAGGCCTTTGAAATCTAAGGTGCAGACCATGCTGATCACTGGGCTGCTGTCAGGACAAGCTGTATTTTAATTGCTGGTTCTCAGTGCTTTTTGATGTAGTTTAATCATTGTTCTTAACTAGTTTATTTTATTTTTAAATGTGTATACTGCCCTTCATCCGAAGATGAACAGGGCTGTTCCAGACCCTCCAAGTGCCCCAGTTTTCCAGGGATGTCCCTGATTTAGAGAAGCTGTCCTGGTTTCTGATTTGATCCTGGAATGTCCCATTTTTTCTTAGGACCTCCCTATTTTCATTGGAGAAATGTTGGAGGGTATGGAGCTATCTGACCCCCAAGCTGTCTGAAGGCAATCCTGTATAGGGAAGGGTTTTTTAAAAATGTTTAATGTCACATTATGTTTTTATACATGTTGGAAGCAGCCCAGAGTAGCTGGGGCAACCCAGTAAGCAGAGTGGGGTATAAATAGTAAAATTATCTTTATGGAATGGGACTTTTCTATTTTCCTCAGAGAAATGTTGGAGGATATGCTGTTCACAACATAAAAATACAAAATGAGAAAACAGAATACAGTGGTACCTTGGGTTAAGAACTTAATTCGTTCTGGAGGTCCGTTCTTAAGCTGAAACTGTTCTTAACCTGAAGCACCAGTTTAGCTAATGGGGCTGCTGCCGCTGCCGCCATACGTTTTATGTTCTCATCCTGAGGTAAAGTTCTTAACCCAAGGTACTATTTCTAGGTTAGTGGAGTCTGTAACCTGAAGCGTCTGTAATCTGAAGCGTCTGTAACACGAGGTACCACTGTACAGAGTAAACCAAGCCCATAACCCCTCTTTCCACAAACACATTTAAAAGGTCACTGAATGTTAATTGGCCAAAAGCCTGGCTATAGAGAAATGTATTTGTCTGGCACCTAAAGATATATAATGAAGGTGCCAGACAAGCCTCTCTGGGGAGAGCATTCCACAAGCAGGGAGCCATTACAGAGAAGGTCCTTTCCTTTGTTGCCATCCTCTGGACCTCTCATGGAGGAGACACATGAAGAAGGGCCTCAGAAGAGGATCACATTCCTTTGTTTTCATTACTTTGCATTTATAACAATGTTTTTAAATGCTGGAAGCTGCCTTGAATCCCAGTTTGGGATCCTGGTCCAGAAACTCCAGCTACTGCATACTCTCCAACACAGGGACAACAAAATTCAGAACACAATGCCATAAGAGCAGGGAATAGATGCATAGCTGATGCAATGATTCAAGCATGTTTCATTTATTGCAGCATTTTATTCCACCAAATAACAATGTTCTCTGGGAGGCTTACAAAGAATGGAAGTCTGAGGTATAATAATATAGAATAATAAAAAGTAAACTGAATCCAGCAACAACAGACAGTCAACCGAGATAGCACAGTGAAACAGTGTTACTAAAAACATACACATTGCCAAAAAGGATAAAATACATAATCATAAAAAAATGCAAAAAAAATGCAAAAGGGGACGCTGGCATATCGTTTTTTGGGGCAGGGGGTTGTTGCTGTTATTGATATTAATTTTTTGCATATTGATTTTAGATCTTGTGGAAATTCTTCAATTTGGTTGTGTACTTTTAATGTTTTATTTATTGTTTATGACTACCTTTGTTAGGTTTGTAACTACGTGTTTTTTCATGTTGAAACCACCTTGACCATGGTTTTAACTATGGAAAGGCGGTATACAACTAAAATGATGTAGGTAGGTACGTGTCTTCCTTCCAGGTACTAGCTAGCGTTGGGCAGCTTCAAGGCCCCCTGCTCTCCCTTCTTAGGGTTCTTCATTTTGAAACCAGATTTGGGTTCTTCAAATTTTCCTCTGTAAAGTAGGGCACATGGACACCCTACATGCAACAACTCTGAAAATCAATCGACCCTGAGGGGCCACTAGGGGCGCATCGGAAGATGGCTGACAATAACATCTCTCCGACTGTGGAGGCTGTGATGGGAGTAAATAGCCTCCCTACCCCCCCAAGATTGGG